TGTGTGTGTGTGTGTGTGTGTGTGTGTGTGTGTGTGTGTGAGTGTGTAGTATTCTCTGTCTTTTGTTTCCTCTCCAAAGACAAGTGTGTATATAGGATGCGCGAAGAATGTGGGGAACAAAAACCAAAGCAAATTTCAAAGCCACCTGAGGGTCTACACTCCAGCCCCTGTCCTCAAAACTACCCTACTGGGAGGATTGCTAAGAAAAAGTGAGCTTCTTCAACTCCAGGGCATTTTTCCATTTAATTGTTACTCTTAAGAGCATCTGAAAATGAAGTCTTTAGTCATGTTTTTACTGCCACAGAGCCCTTTGAGCAGATAAAAGTTCCCGGGGACCCCAGTAGTCAGGAGCATAGAAAGCCAGCTGCTCTAGTTTAAAGAAGGGGTGTTTTTTTCTTTACCTTACACTGTCCCCAGTGGCATCTTCTTACAAGATTTGATTTTTTTTTTTTTAATGCCGTGTCCAGGGCCTCACACATCCTAGGAATGCTTTGCTATTGTGTTGGGTGCAGGATTTAAGATGCCCTGGCTATGAGTCTGCAGCAGGTACCAAAGCGGGGTGGGGCAGAGATTGGGATCTGTCCAGACATCGATGGGTCACAGTGAGAGCACCGCTGTGGGGTCACCTGGAGCCACTTCCTGTTGCGGAGAAGTATGCCTTCAGTGCCAGGGGCACAGACCTGCCAGACCCCGGCTCCCTGCAGGGCTATGACTCAGCCACTGTGGATAAGAGAACGCACTCATTTCTCAGGGTCCGGGTCCCCTCAGCTGAAGGCTTTGTGTGATGAATGTGAGAGGTTGGGGTCGGGGGTGGAACAGGCCAGCCTGTATTCACAGGCTGGGAATCAGCCTTCTCGTCCCCACCCCTCTCACTTCCTCTGCCAGGGGCTTCTCATCTTCTGGAAGGAGAAATATATTCCTGACAATTAACCTGCAGGAGGACAGAAAAGGGGAGGTCTGCGCATCTGTGATTTACACCGCGTGCTGAGATCAGACTCCCTTCTGCTCTAGGCTCTGAACTCGGGGGAGGCGGGAGTGGAGATTGCAATTGGGAAAATGAGATCAGTCCGGCTGCATAGGAGAGTTGTTGGGAGTCAAAATGAGCGAGCGGCACCTCCCTCCCTGGGTCCAGGTGGCAACTCTCGGAGTGGTTCTCTACATATTCATGCCCTAGGTGAAATGGAAACCAAGGGGAACAAAGAATAAGGTGTAATATTGGAAGAGGGGACAGGACCGCTGTGAACACAAACCTGTGATGTCAACCAGATGTGAGGTAGCTAGGAGAGGATGGTGGTGCATGTGGCTAGACTTCCGGTGTCACCCTAGAAAATGTAAGGTTGAAATACTGTTTTTTTAAACCTGGGATTTGGAAATCACAGCTCATGACCAAATCCAGCACACCACATATTTTTGTAAACAGTTTACTGGAACCCAGCAAATAATAAACCCATTGGTTTATTATTGTTGATGGCTGCTTCCAAACCTCTAAGGCAGAGCTGAGTAGTCAGTGCAGGAATAGTATGGGTTACAGAAAAGGCTTACTGACTCCTGCTTCAGACTGTTTTGGGTGACATGATATTCTCCTTCAACTAGATCATGGCCTTATTGGGCCAGAATTGGATCAGAGTAACATACGTAGTGCATGACTACGGTAAATCCGATGTGGACCCGGTCTCTGTGACAATGGTAGTACACAGATCTACCCATTCTTCGCAAATTGAAGTCTGCCATTATAGGAAATCTCATCTTTGTGTTGCAGAGGTTTTCTTCACATTATTTAGTACTACCATTACTGTAGCGGAAAGAGATACATCCTTTTGAGGCGAGAATGTGTTTGTCCTGATATATTCTCCTTCTGCTCTCTGTGGCAGACATTTCTAATCAAGTGCTGCACTCTTTCCAGGTCCAGTTTCAGTCTATGTAGTCTCAGAATTCTTTCTACTGTAGAAGGTACTGCCTGTTAGTCTGATTGGTGTGCAAGATAAAGCCTATTTGCTAATGTCTATGGAGTATTGCCAAAACCCATGTGTGTCTCCATATGGCCTCCTCTTGCAATTATTTCTTGTTTTCTCAGCAAGATTTCTAAGCCCATTTTAAGTGTGTACTCCTTAAAGACACATAAAGAATCCATGATTACAGCTATTTCTGGGCTTCTCATCACACTGTGTCCTACCTAGTACAGAGCGCAGTGCCTGGCCCACAGCAGTTGTCCCACAGTGATTTTCCCAGTGTTGATTGACCACATGTAAGTAGCCTCTTGAGATCTGTTTGGTGGTGGCTTCATGTTGGGATGATGACCAAGACAAGTTTCAGATTGGTCATCTTTCTAAGCCACAATGGGAGTTTGACAGAGGCCTGGTACTTCTATATACCCCAGACAGAGCTGGTAGAGATGTGAAGGTGAGTATCAACCAAGTCCTGCTCTCCAAGAGCTGTCACTGTAGTAGGGAAGACAGTTTCATAGAAATTAATGCTCATAAAAGGCAGAAGAAAATAAGAACAAATTCAGAGACAAGTAATGAGGCCCAGGAAGGGCCTTGGGAGTGACACTGAGGTCTCACCTGGTTCTGTTCATTTCCTTTAGTTTCAGAAGAATCGGCGAGACCCGGATGCCACCAAACACAAGCTCATGGAAATTGCCAACTATGTTGATAAGGTGAGACCAGGTGTGTACTTTGTGGGAAAGGTGCCAGGACCTCAGAGGGGTTGGAGGACAGGAGATCACATGAACCTGAGCTGCCTTCTATGGTACTGGCCACCCAGTTTCTGAAAGGAAGGGAACAATGCCATAGAGGCTCAGTGTGGTCAGAAGCACCTCTGAACTATGTGCTCATAGGTAAGTAACTCATCTTCCTTAGGTTGTAGTTTTCATTTTTGTTCTGGTTTTGCTTTGTTTTAATTTACAAAGCAGAAGTGTTGGCCTAAATTGATAGCTTTCAGGTTTTTCTTTTAATTTTTCTGAGGGAGTTTTTAAAAAAATGATATCCTATTCTAGTGTCTATACCAACATCAGATAGAAACGGACTGCTCTAAGCTGATAGAGTGTTGTTGTCCTGTGATGTCTTCTCCACTTCAGTGGCTTCAAAGGAACCTAGGGCAGGGAAGAGCCCAGTTTAAGAACTCGATAAGGTTTTCTAAGGTTCCGTGCAGGAGTAAAGCACATTGATTGTCTGACTTAGCAGGAACTAAGTCCAGAGATCCAGATGGAAAGGTACACAGCCTTAATGGGGAGTGGGCTGTTTGGGGCCAGTCTACAAAGTCTCCATCTGCAAAACTGCCCTAGAATTATTAATTGTCTCTCAGAAAGACTGTGAGTGACCTTCCCATCTCAATACCTGTTATACGCTACGCTTAGGAAATGTCCAAATTTTAAAATCTTATTAGAACAGGCTAGTTTGAGACTCAGAAATATTTGTATATATGAAAGAAGGTATTTGTTATAATGTAAAATGCAAAAGTAGAAGGTGACCTCAAATGGCGGTAGCTGTTTGACAAGCTGCTAGAGTATAGTTTTTTAAAAAGTAGCTTTTGATGTGTTTGGTCCAAGATCATACCTGGTAGAATTTTAGGACACTCATTAAGCTTTGAAAGTTTGACTGTGGGCCTGCTAGGGACTTCTGGACCCCAGTTCTGAATGGGAAGTCATAATTTTTCAAACACTAAGAGGACTTAGTATTACTTTAGAGACCAAAAAGCAAATTTGGCAGTACTCTGAGGTCATTCGATGGGAGGTTCTCTGAGCCATATTTTTGTTCTGTCCTCCTTGTTGTAGAAATACAGGCCACTGGCAAGTGACAGGAGAAAGTCAAGCACTGACATTTCCTGGCAGAAAGACCTTTGCTGGACACAGTGGAGTCCTCTTTCTAGCTCCTGGCTCACTTCACAGTAACTTTCAACTGATCCTGCAACCCAGACCCTCAACATCTGGGAAAACAGGGAAGACTTGCTTCCCTGAGGGTATAGAGAAGGCAGGTCCCACTGTCACCCATGTGACATCTACTGTTCTAAAGACCAGGCAGGTTGGGTCCCTCCTTGAGGAACTTCAGCTGGTTTGGTTGATAAAACCAGGGACACTGATGGAAAATGGAAGGCATGTGTTAATTACAAACTCCAAAAAAGAAAGAAAAGAAAAAAAGTGGAGGGAGAAGAGAGGCAGCTGCCAATCCAGACCTTGGTTGGAGCCCATGCCGGCTGGCTGGTCCACTGTGAATCCCTGCCTCTCTCCGGACGGCTGATGTGAGCCACTCCCAACAGGGAGAATGAAGGCACACCCCCCGCTCTGAAGCTTGCTGACCCGGCTACTTGAACTGAACGACTGTTGAACTAAGACTGGAACGAACTATGCTCATTTGATGAATCATGAACCCAGTCCAAAATATTTTCTGTTAACTGTGAAAAAGCCAAGTTTACTTTCTTAAAAACCTCCACAGTGCAGCAAATTCACATTGAAGTCTGAACCCTGTATTTTCTTTCATGAAGGGTGCAGCACAAAACGAAGCAGAGACAAATTTTCTAGAGAAATAAATGGATACTCTGTAGACTCTTCAGTCCATCTTAGGCCACGGTTTTGGGGGAAGGCGTGTGGGTGGTCTGGATTTGTAAATAACTGCAGTACTTTGGCAGAACAGTCATGAGTGGTCGGTGAGGCTATGATCTGTGTCTTCATCCTGGCTCCACCGTTTCCTGCCCAGGCTTTGCTCAGGTTTCTCAGGGCTTAGTACGTAGAAAGTTCTTGACAAACATTGATGTCCTGGTTATCATTTTTAGCTGGGCAACACCTGCCAATTTCAGATTAAGATAGTCTGTGCTGCTCATGTGACCGCTATATTCTAAATGTCACTGACTCAGTAGCATCTAGAGCAGACCCATCAAAGAACCACTTATAACCGCTTTCCAGTAGCTTAGCTTTGAAGCTAAGCAGCTCCTGCTTATATGCACATGAGGTGAAAGAGCCGTGTCCTAGCGTTAGGTATAATCTAGACTTACAGTGGCTGACAGGCAGCTCTTGATTATCGGCATGTAGCTCGGTGGTGCCTGCACCTGCCTTGAAAGCACAAGGTCCTGAGTTGGATCACCAGTACAAAAAACAAAACAACAAACAGTGTACTGGGTGAAAGAAGCTAGGTGCAAAACCTATGTTGTATGATTCCGTTTGTTAAAAAAGGAAGAAAGTCCAAAAAAGGCCAATCTGTAGAGACAAGAAGTAGAGCGATTCTCTCCTGGAATTGGGGTAAGAATGGAATGACTGCACGTGACCGTGAAGGACCTGACTGGCATCGTGAAATGATCTAACACTGGAGTGTTGTAGTATCTTTATATATCCAAAAGCCTAGTAAAGCAGTCAAAATAGGTGGTTTTATGTCATATAAATTATTCCTCCATGAAGTTGTTCTTTTTTTTTTTTTTTTTTTAGCAAGAGAGCTTTTTAAGATACCAATAGAAAGATAAAGGCTATTCAAGAAACTGGTAGAGAAAGTCATCCACCTAGTTAGGCCCAGGAGGGTTATTACAGAAGACAGCAGTGGTCTCAACTACGTCATTCAGGCTGGCCTTGAACTAACAGTGATCCTCCTGCCTCAGCTTCCTGCCTGCTGGGATTCTAGGTGTGCACCGCCATGCTCAGCCTTGATTAGATTTTTTTAATGCTTTTTCTTTTCATATTTTACTATGAAATTTACCTTCCTGTCTTATTGTACTTCTGAACCCAGTCCTCACTTGATGACAAAGTGCAACAACCCTCACCCTTTCTGCATATGATAGCCCTGTATGTATCTGCACCAATTTTAGGTCTTATCTCAGTTTTCCATTCTCTAAGCAAAGATAACACAGTTTTACCCCCAGAATATTGTGAGTCTCTCTCAGAGCGTCCCTTTCTTCTTCTGAGAAAATGTCAAGAATACCTATTCTCTTTCTCCTTGGAGCTGGGGCAAAGGAGAGATCAGGTGGCTGTGTTCTGAGTTCTGAGGTTAGGAAGGGGTGGTGACTCCCATATGGTGTTGATAGAAACCCAGCTCCTTGGTCTTTCCAGTTTTACCGATCCTTGAATATTCGGATTGCTCTCGTGGGCTTGGAAGTGTGGACTCACGAGGACAAGTGCCAAGTTTCCGAGAACCCGTACTCCACGCTTCTGTCGTTCCTTAGTTGGAGGCGCAGGCTGCTCACCAAGAAGAAGCACGACAATGCTCAGTTAATCACGTAAGCAGCATTCTCCTGTGTGTGCCACCTCTGTCTGCTGTGTGTGTGCTCCGCATTTGCCTTCCTTGGCCCAGTGAGTTGCACTGGTTGCACAGGGCCCTCCTGGCTGCCCGACCTAGGGAAGCAGGCATTTCTCCTCCACGTGCTCTGGACTCGGCACACTTCAGAAAATACTATTAAAAATCTCAGAATCCGCTGAGTAGCTGGAACATGGGTGTGTGTTCAGGCAGTGGCCGATGGGTGGCCGCAGCCGCTTTGGGATGGACTTGTTCTGGTATATGAGCTCTTTCCTACCGCAGGCCTTGGGCAGGGGTTCCCCGAGTCACCCTCCCTTCGCTTTCAAGGGGCTCCGTGCTGGGTGCCTGCAAGAGGCAGAGTGGCAGAAGCGCAGGAACCGTGTTCATGGGGTGGGGGGCACTACGAGGGACTGGGTTAGGTTTACATCCGACCCAGAGAGAAAAGAACCGAATTCTGACTGATTGGGTTGCAGTAGTGTGAGACAGCGTACCACTGAGGGTGATTATTGGCATTTACTAGTGTTGGCTTCCAAGGTATTTGAAGGCAATCGCCACAAGAGGCACAGAGATCATAAACCCTTTCCCACCCATTCCTTAAATACATCTCAGAGTCAATGATCATTTAAACCCTGATTTAAATCCTGGGGGAAGAAATGAGAGCCAAGGCCTGGCATGTAAAGGTACAAGATCCCGATGATGAATGTAACTGTACTGTATCCCTAAAATGTGCCAATAAACTCAATGAGAGGGGAAAATAAATAAATAAATAAACCCTGGTTGACCCTTAGAGGTGTGTCCAGCCCGTGATCCATGGCTTCAGTGTTGCCTGTGTTATAACGAAAAAGTGTAAAGGAAAGGAAGTCTTATTGTATACGGACATTACCTACATCGTATGCTTTATGTGGTACCCAAGCCAATTCCTCTTCACTCAGTGCAGCTCAGCCAAGGACCTGCAGGAAGCAGTGGGACATAGCTGTCCCCAATCCCAGGCTCTAACTGGTTACTTACGGTGGTACCTTCATCCAGGAAGAGTCTTTGGGTACCAAAACTATTTGTTGAGGTGGGAGCACGGGGGATGGAGCTCGGGGACTTGTGTGTTCTAGGCGAGAGCTGGACAACTGGGGTCCACCCCTGTCCCCTTCGATCATCAGAACTTTTAGCCTGAATGGGGAAGCATCCTGGTTTAGGCAAAATCTTGAATGTGTGTTTCCAGTAGGACATCCTCAGAGCCATAGCTAAGTTTAAAAAATAATAAGTAGGGCTTCACAGGAATCAGTATACATTTTGCATGTTTCTTTGCAGATTGTTTCTTTGCCTTGAATTCAGCACTTATTTATCACCCCTTTTGTATCAGGTTCTATGCTAGTTTCTAGTGATCCCCAAATAAATAATATAGTCAGATATTTCATGGTGCAGATAAGAAGAAAAACATGGAGATATAGACCATATAATGAATTTCCACAGAAGTCCTTTAAATAGGTGACATACACAAAGATACTGGCATTTCTTTTATCCCTTTTCCTCTATCCTGGATATATATGGCTGAGAGAGGGATGTATTAAATCTCAGGAGGCCGTGGCTGGCCATTGCAGATTAGGATCCTAACTGCAAAACAAAGGCAGAAACAGCTCATCCTTGCGCCCAGCTGCACTTTGTGAGGCTCCCAAGGGGACGCAGCTGCTTCCTTGGCCCCGAGGTGACATGGGAATGAAGCATCAGCCCCACAGCTGCTGCCTAATTCCCTACCCTGTCCTGAAAGGCCCACACGGCAGAGCCAGGGCAAAGGCTTGGGACCAGGCAGCTGGCAGAAGTGGGCATGATTCACTTTGGCATCAGAACCTGTGCTCCCCTTCCCTACCCCCTCCCTCTGAGCTTTTTCCTGTGCAGCAGGAATGGGATGGAGCTTTCAAGCTCTGCCATTTCCTTCCAGGGAATTGGCCATAGGCATGCTGTGGGGAATGCGTGACCTTTTGTGCGCTGTCTGTTTTTCTCTGGAGCAATGAGGGAGCAGGTGAGAGGAGGTGAGAGGTGTAGTGACCTGAAAGTCAGCCAGTGGCCGAAACGTCAGGGCCCCTCCCCTTGGGAATGAACTGGAAATGTCATTGAGACCAGAGAGTGCTTGATAGCCACTGGCTCCTGGACACTTGAAACAGTGCGTCCCTCAGCCCCGCCCAGTTACCCCTCTCTTCTCTCCTGCAGGGGCGTCCCCTTCCACGGCACCACCATCGGCCTGGCCTTCCTCAGGACCATGTGCTCTGTGCACCATTCTGGAGGGGTGAGCTCGGTGAGTCTCCGCCGCAGGCTAGCACTGCAGGAGCTATAAAACGGCCTCTCAGGAGAGGAGGTCACCCCTGAAAAAAGGGATCTGGTGTTTATTATTGCTGAAGAAAAATCCTGGACATCAACAAGACCAATTATTTAAAATCAAGTCATTAAGCTCTAAGACATGGAGGTACCCAAGGGTGACTTTTCATTTACCAGAGTTTATTTTTTATTTCAAGCTCGGGAGACCTGTGAAGTGGTTTCATAAATACATCTCTACATCTCTCATATGCTCCACACCAGGGCCTGGGCAACAGTAAGGGAAGAGAAACTGAAGTGTTTTTATTCCAGGTCCTGCACGATCAGGGATGTGATTACTGAGAAAGAGCGTGTCTCACAGCCATAGGCAATTCCCCTTCTCTTGAAAGTCTGTCTGACTTTGTGAGAGTATTGCGACTGTTTGTTTCTAAGTTGTGAGTGGATAGCGGGAAGCCTGCTGTCCATCTGTTTGTCCATCCTTTCACCCATCCTGTATTTATTTATTGACCAAGAAACATAAATGTGAAAACCCTCAGCTCTAGAGTCAGAACTGATTAGCTTCAAAGAATATTTACAGGGCTTTGGATGAGTTAATAGGTGTCATCAGTTGTAAAATAAAGGTAATTTCACAGTTTATAATCTTAAGGTAAAAATGAAAATTAAAGGAAATCATGCCAGAAACACACATACGTGTTTAGTAAATGTCCTGTGGCTGCTTCTGTGGCTTTTGAGACAAGGTCTTGCTCTGTGGCCCAAGATGGTCTCAAACTCCTGGGCTAGAGTGATCCATCCCTCAGCACGGCCAGTAACTGCCCAGTAACTACAGCCCTTGCCACCTGGCTGCTCTGCTCGCTTGTTTATTCCCTGTTTCTTCAGCTTCTGCTTTTGACAAGAATCACGCGTGACATGAGGTGCCGTGTCTGGGATGCATCTGTCTTGTGGTGCTCTCAGAAAACAGTGAGCAAACATAGCCTATGCTTGACTTGTGGCGGTGTCTCCTGGTCATCGCTCTGTGTCTTTAAGAGATACACCTATAAGGGGAAGAATGGGGAAAAGCGTTTACTGCTTCGGAAATTCATCAGGATACATTGACTTTTAACCATCTGACTCCCTCATAATGACAGTGGCTTTAGACTTGCTGCGAAAAGCAGCTGTGGAGAGCCTGCGTTCCCATCGGCAGAGGATCACGTGGAGAGCTGCAAGGCTTGACTTGGAAAAGGACAGAGATTGTGGGGGAGAGGGATGGACAGTGCTGTCCCCTTGACTCTGACCCGAACTCTCTCCCTGAGCAGGACCACTCTGATAATACCATCGGCGTGGCTGCGACCATCGCCCACGAAATGGGCCACAACTTTGGCATGACCCACGACTCCGAAGGCTGCTGCTTAGCCAATCCTGCTGATGGTGGGTGCATCATGGCCGCTGCCACTGGGTGAGTCAGTGGGAAGGAGGCTGAGGCCAGCACGCTGGTGTGACCCAAACATTCCTTCCAGCTGGCCTTGAGGAAGTTCTTTAAATATGCTGGTAGGGTGTTGAAGAAATTGTGGGTTTTACCACAAAGAAATTGGAAGAGCTCTGAGCTGGGCTTGGTGACACACGCTGTAATCCCAGCGCTTGGGACGCTAGGGCAGGAGGATTGGTACGAGTTTGAAACCAGCCTGGGCTACATAGCAAGGCCTGGTCTCAAAAAAAGAAATTGGGGAAAACACCAAGAAGGGAAATGTATGGAAAGAGCAGGTTTCTAGCAGCAGGTGCCATGCTGATGAAACCCCATATGTACTATTCAGCATTTATACTGTATATGCTGTTTTAATTTGTGCTTAGGGTCTTCAGCCATAAAACTGAGCTGACCACACATGTCATGTTTTCCTTCATCAACTTTTGCCAAGGACCCATTTTGATCACAACCACAGCCCTTGGTGTTTCCATCCCAAAGGAGTTTGTTAAGTGCTCGAAAAGCTCTGATGTAGCTCCAGAATGAGTTGAAGGAAAATGACCACTCACACCCTGAACCCTGACTGCCCACAAGAAACAAGGACACGCAGGCTGCTTCTCCTGAAGTCAGGAGGGCTTTTCTAAACCAGAGCCTTTGAAAAAATTCTAGAGTTTCTTCAGAGGACTTATCTCCTAGGGTCTGGACTCAGCATAAATCACTGGCTTCCTCCAGGACCTGAGTTTCTCCTTGGAAGGCTTCAGGCTGGGACTTTATGTCCCTTCACCCCGAATCAGTAGGGTCTGCCCATGCCGTGCCCAGTATGGTGTCTCAGTGTCTCCCAAAGCAGTTCCCTTTCTCTGGAACTCCTGTGTCCAGTGTCTGGTCATCACTTCTTGGTGGTGACGCAGAAAGGATGATGTTGCTATGTAGAATACAGTTCCACAGGTCACGCTAAAGTCCCTGTGAGCTCACAGTGAAGTCTGCTCCTTTCTCTCCCAGTCTCAGTAGTATCTGTAGACACGTGGTTGAGAGTTACAGTAGTTCCTACTCTAACTTGTTTCACAATTACTCACAAATTTTCATGGTTTAACACCAAATTCTCCTGTGCTTAGCCTTTAACTGGTTTAGAGCACTGGGAGCAGGGTAACTCTCTCTTTGTAGACCCAACTCATACTACAGTTGTTTCCTCTTAACTGTAGGGAATGTTCGAAGACTTTCCAGACACCTAAAACTACAGAGTACTGAAAACCATATATACTGTGTTTTTTTTCTCCGCATCCATATCCATAAGAAAGTTTAATTTGTAAAGCAGGTATGATTAGACATTAAAAACAATAACCAATAAAGTAAAACAATTATAACAATGTACTCTGATAAAAGTTATTTGACCTTATGAATTATTTCTGGAATTTTTTATTTACTATAGGTAACTAAAACCATGGAAAGCAAAACTCCAGAGAAGAGGGAACTACTGTAGTTTTGGTTCTTTTTCCCAGTATTGAGGAAACGAGAAATCATACTCTTTTAATAAACAGTACACATTTGTGAGTTGGCTAGTTCAGTTTGGAGTATGCTCTGTGTTCCACAACAAAGAACAAATCATTGGTCCATGGAGAAATTAAAACCATGATCTTGGTTTCTGTTGGTCTGGTCCTCTGTAACAACAACAACAAAAAAAATCCATCTGATACTGGCTTTAGGAGAAGTTGGGCTTGGCTTGGAGCTGAAGCTTGACACCTATTGTAACACATTCACAGTCTTTTATTTCCTGCAATTCCCTCATGTGACAGAAGGTGCTGTTCTTTTCAAACACCTTTACCGTGCAGAGTAAGAAAAATAAAATACTATAAGATGGTTAATATTTCATGAGGAAGTATGAAAGAATTCCAAGTTCATGTATTAATGTATTGATGAGTGTTCCCAGGGGATGAATGTGTGTGTATGTGTGTGTGTGTGGGTGGCACTGTGAGGATGCAGGTGGAATCAACTTTTGACAGCATGACTGGCAGCTGTTCTCCCTGCTGCATATGCAGACTCTCAGCTATTTCCTCCATTGTCCCCTCTAGCCATCCCTTTCCCAAAGTGTTCAATGGATGCAACAAGAAGGAGCTCGATAGGTACCTTCAGTCAGGAGGTGGAATGTGTCTTTCCAACATGCCGGACACCAGGACACTTTATGGAGGCCGGTGGTGTGGGAACGGGTTCCTGGAAGATGGAGAAGAGTGTGACTGTGGGGAGGAAGATGTAAGTGTCACAGTGGTGCTAGCAGGAGGGAAGAATTCGCACTGATTCCAAGCACAAGGTCAAAAGAGAATAGGACAAATACAATTGCTTAGTCACAGGAATTTCCTACACATGACTATCAAAAGCCCCACCACATATAAGCTGTGGTCAGTGAGCCTTCCAGATGGACCGCTGCTGTAGCCTGTCAGAGCTTGTGCTGGCACTCTTGGTGTCCAGGGTCAGGGTGGAGTTCCGGCGAGCATCTGGTCTAGCCAGAAACCGCAACCCTGTAGCTCTCTCCCCTCCGGTAGAGCTCAGATGGCCTCCTTGGCCCTGCAGCTGCACTAAACTTTTTTGGGAGCCACACAGCCATTTTTATGAACTTGAGCATGAGCCTTATGAGGATGCTGCAAATAACAAGCTCATGCTGTTTATCCTGGGGATGTGATGCAAAGGGAATACAGGAAGAGCTAAAGGGCTGCTAGGAGGAAGGAGCAGGAGTCTCTCTGTATGAGCTCTTTGCTTCCTTTTGATCTTCAAAACCACATAGTGTGACTGTCACTTCTAACAGAAGCGTGTTGTTCTACAAAAAAAAGCAGAACTGGATTGCTTCATCTCTATTTTTTTTTTAAAGGATGAAAATATGTATGCTAACACGCACACAAAAATTGGGGGACAATACATGAGTAACACAGAATATGATGGTGGTGCGAGGGAGGTTCTATGTGTGTGCAGAAAGTGATTTGATTTTCGAACTTGTAGGGTGTGATATTCTTCTTTTGGCCCAAGCATGTAACTTTCAGGATATGACAAAAGCTGTTAAAGATGCTACCACTCTCACCATCGTGATCTTAAAGGGATCAGCCCAGGGACTTCAGAAGAAGGGAGTTGTATTAAGAGCGGTGTGAATACTATATTTTGCCAAATAAGTATAAGCATGGATGTATTGGAAAATACACACTTGAAATGCAGATGCCTTTACCTTGTGGCATGGCTGAGGAGTGTGCCTGTGTGTATTTTCTGTGATAAATTCACATGACCTTGGTAGTAAAGCTGTCAAGAGATGTTCTGGAAGCGGTGTGGAGGGCAGCCTGGGGCTGGGGTGGTGTGGCGAAGGCCGTCCCCCCACCTGGTCCACTGCCCCAGAGACTCACGCCCACCCACTGCCCTCAGGAATGCAACAACCCCTGCTGCAATGCCTCCAACTGCACCCTGAAGGACGGGGCGGAGTGTGCCCACGGCGCCTGCTGCCACCAGTGCAAGGTGAGTGTCCCCTCCCCTACCTGCTGCCATGACCCAGCAGCTCTGCCCTGGGTGGGTGACGGGGCTGGGGTGTGGCTCAGTGTGGAGGGCTGGTCTACTGTGCTCAAGGCCCTGGTTTCCATCCGTAGCACTGGGGTGGGGGTAGGGGCTGAGAAAAGAAAAATGCAAGTTTCAGACCCCTTGGAGTGGAAACAGTTCCTTGAGCTAATTTTACTATTTGCCCCCTGGACTTCAGTGAGTTAAGATCATCCCAGAGGATGGTGCCTCCTGTGGATGGGTAAAACATTTTTAAAAACAAGTACACAGAGAGTAGGTGTGATATTATGTGAGCTCATAATCATAAGTATCACAAGTCTGAGGGACATTAATGGATGTCTTAGAAGAAGCCAGAAAGAAGCGCTGTGCTGAGAAATGTGTATAGTTTATCTCGTTCAGTCCTCACAAGGCCCACGTGGTTTATGTGATTATCCTCACTTGGAGATGAGAAAGCTGGGGCTCATAGAGTATGGGTAACTTACCTAGAATGAAACAGGCAGGAAGAGCTTTAATCCAAGTCTTCCTGTCTCCGGAAGGAAGTAGTATCCCTACTACTGATACAGGAGAGAAATGGTTTACTGCTATTAGTGTGAATATAGCACCGCTGTCTCTTAACCCATAATTCTGGAATTCAAGAAGTTCTAAAATCTGAAAAATAATGTTCTATCACATTTAGTGACAAATTTGAACTGAATTGATATGAGGTTAATTATAGTTTTTTAAAAATCACACTTGGGGCCAGGGATTTGGCTCAGTGGTTCCACCACCTGCCTCACAAGCACAAGGACCTGAGTTTGATCCCCAGTACAAAAAAAAGGCCACACCTAAAGTGAATATTCATATATATCATAATGGTTCACTCAGGCCTTACTGTAAGATTATGTATTATACATGTGTACTTTGAATATGTATTTATATACATATGTAAATTTATAATGATATGTATACATTTGTTATTACATATATATGTATATATACATACAAGGTTACATACACATGCATACAATATAGTAACTGAAAATATGAATCATATTAATACTTATAATCTGAAAATGATCTGGCCTCAGAGTTTGGGGCTGTAATCGGGGACCTTTGCTTCTCCCCACCATTTATCCTGTACTCATTATGTGCCAGATACTGTTCAATTATTTTGTTGGAAGTCATTCCTCTTAACAACCACTTAAGAGAGTTAGGATCTCAAATCATGGGTGTGTGAACATCAAATCCAAGGCCCCAGTGTTGGTTGAGGAGCTAGGACGTGAAGCGGACAGACAGGCTGCGGAGTAGGTCCTCTGTCCCTGCACCTTGCTCCTGATGGAGGAAGCTGCTACAGCTTCCTCTCCACACACTCTTGTCCACACTTGTAGCCAAGGCCCTTTCAGCAGGCAGCCAGGCCCAAGAGCAGCCAGGAAGGGTCTCCCTGCCTTCTTGCCTGTGAGGCCCTTGTAAGCAGTGTGTAGCCTCTTGGGTGCTAAGGAAGGCTTCGTTCTTAGTCCTTGGTTTCTTTACCTGACCCAGGGGAAACTTGAAGACCTTCTGACTTGAACCAGTGTCCCCTGGGGAGGCTGTGGGGGGTCAAGTCCTTCAAGTTTGGGCCAGGCCTCAGAATAAGCGTGGAGTGGAGCCATTGCATCCAGTCCCAGGATTTCATTTGGAGCCTCACAAAGGATCCCTGTTGTCTGAGACCTTGACTTCAGGTCCTGGCTATGTGATTTTGGCAGTTTCCTAACCATCCGAGGCTAGATGGTTTTTTGGTGAACTGCAAAGCGTTTAGTAACCCCAACCGCCAAGGGTTGCGAAAAGATTCCCGGGGAATCTTTTACTGTTTGAGCAACATGTGTTATTGATCAGGTTATTTGATCTACAAAGTTGGCAGATAGCAGTGTCCCTCATCCTCCTGTGAGGGGCAAAGGAGACGGTGTGTGTGACGTACTCAGCCCAGCGCTTGGCTAGGTGACGTCCCGGGATGCATCATTGCTGATGCTCTTTGTCAGCTCAGCAATGTTGTGTGACTGCTAGCTGAATGTGTGCATTTATCCGTGGCCCTGTCTCTTTTACCACTTACTGTGTAATTTTGGAAACATTGTCTATCCTCTGTAAGCCTCAGGTTTCATCACCTATAAAATGGGGCTGATTATATTACATTGGATCGTCAGGAGGATGAAATGGAATGATATTGACATTGGGCACTCAGGAGGGAGTTGTGTAAAACTAGCTGTTATTGCCAGAGCACACGATGAGTTCTTAAATGTTGCATAAATACTGTTTCTTACTGCATACTTCTTCTTAAGACTTCTGTGAAGAGGAAGTGATTGCATTTGTGAAAATTCTTTAAAAAGCCTCAGTCACTGTTTAGATGAAAAGGCCTGTGATGATTTGGGCTACTGAGGTTGCGTAAAAAAGTGCTGTGAAATAAAGGTGTTGAAAGTTCCATTCCACACAAGTGACGTGTGTAAGATCTCGACTGACAAGATCAACGACAAGGACGTCATCGACTGTTTCTGCCTCTCATTCCTCCACTCAGCTGGTAGCTCCAGGCGTCCAGTGCCGCGATCAGGCCCAGCAGTGTGATCTTCCAGAGTTCTGCACGGGCAGGTCTCCCCTGTGCCCCACCAATTTCTACAAGATGGACGGGACTCTTTGTGAGGACGGCCAGGCCTACTGCTACAATGGCATGTGCCTCACCTACCGGGACCAATGCCAGCAGCTGTGGGGCCCTGGTAAGGACTGGTAGGGAGACAGCCCTCCTCCACCACACCACTACCAAGCCAGCCCCACCTGCCGGCCGCTCGGCCTCAGCTTGTGCCAGATACCACCTCTGTATCTTGGTGGGAGACCATTACTCAGCACTCACAAGGCCCTGGGCTGAATCCCCAGGACCACCAAAAAAAAAAAAAAAAAAAAAAAAACAA